CCATTCCGCCACCAAGCAATCTCCTTTTTACTCTAACTACGGATACCATCCCTCCTTTCTTCCAGAAATACCAGTGGAGGCCGCTGTTCCGGCAGTACAAGAGAGGATGGAGTTCCTCAGGAGGAACGGCAAAGTATTACAGAAGACGATTTCTGAAGCTCAGGCGAGCAACAAGAAATTTTTTGACAGGAAGAAAAGGGGCAACTTGAAACTGAAACAAGGGGATAAAGTCTGGCTATCCACGGCGAATCTGAAGTTGTCCGTCAAGGAAGCTTGGTCCAAGATACCTGGGACCATTTACCATCAAGAGAAAGGTGAACCCTGAGGTTTTTGAATTGGAACTACCTGTTAACATGAAGATTCACCCGGTATTCCACTGTTCCTTGTTAAAACCACATATCCCAAGTGGGTTTCCCAACTGGAATTCGGAGGCGCCTGCTCCACTGTTGGTTGAGGGTAATGAAGAATACGAGATTGAGGCTATCTTGAATTGTAGGAAGAGGGGCGGACAGACCCAGTTCCTCATAAAATGGAAAGGTTATGGAACAGAGGATAACTCCTGGGAACCATCCACTAATGTCCATGCCCCACGGATAGTTCAAGCCTATTTCCATTTGCACCCTGAGAAATGAGCCCTAGTGGGCATCCGGAGGCTGCCCCTAAGGGGGGGCAATGTAAGGGAATTCCGGCAAGAATAATCTCGATCGGGAATGCGCATAGGAATTCCCGCAGAAGAATTGCCGGTTGTGCGCATGCAGGAATGCGCAATCGCGCACACGCACAGCGAAGATTGGCGCAAGACGGCCCATTTAAGGAGTGCCTCTGCTCAGGTTCAGTGCTGACTGGTCTTCAGCTCCTCCCGTGTCCTGCTTGGTCCTGTACGTTTCCTTTGTTGCTGACCCGGCTTGTTCCTGACCCGACTCCGATTACTCTCCTAATCCTGGTTCCTGACTTCGGCTCTGCTCCTGACTTTGGCTTCTCCTTCTGAATCTGTACCGCGCTGCCCGACTGTTTATGACCCCGGCTATCCTTGACTCTGCTCCAGTCCTGTGTCCTGGCTACCTACCTTGCTCTGCTGCACATCTGGCAATCCACAGAACTTGCCTGGTCTATTTCTACGGTGCCCAAATCAGAGGATACTCTGCCTACCAAGGTCATCATCTGCAAGAGCCGCAAGCAACAACCACTGGCGTTCTTGTCCCCCTGGTCCCTAGACTCCCTCTGTTCCAACTTCAGCGAGGTCAGGGCTAGTAACACCAAGTGAGGCCGACCTCGTCAATTCAGACTCCCATCAGGTACATGACAGGCCTCTGCGAGCGCTTCAATGGCACACTGAAGAGCATGCTGAGGTCCTTCGTTGACGGGGAGGCGGACTGGGAGAAGCTCCTTCCTCACCTGCTGTTTGCATATCGGGAGAGACCACAAGAGTCAACGGGGTTCTCCCCCTTCAAACTCCTGTACAGGCGGAAGGTCCGCGGTCCCCTATCCCTGCTTTGGGAGCATTGGGAAGGGCAGATAGAGGACACGGGTACCCCCGTCGTTCCCTATGTTCTCGAGCTGCGGGAGAGACTGACCCGCCTGGCCACCATGGGCCACGACCACCTCCGGGCAGCGCAGACATGGCAGAAGGTATGGTACGACCGCAAGGCACGTGGTCGCGAGTTCACTGAAGGGCAGCAAGTGCTCAAGATCGTCCCCAACCCCCAGAACAAGCTCCAGCACACCTTGGAAGGGCCCTAAAAGGTCCTTCACAAGTTAGACGAGACTAGCTACGTCATTAGCCTCGACGCCCGTGACCGCAAGCAGCGCACGGTCCAAATCAACATGTTGAAAGAGTACCACGACCTGACTCTACCCGTGCTAGCCGTCTGCCCCGCCTCCACAGGCGGAGAAGATAAGGGAGCCCTGCTCGATCTCCTGCAAGCCACCAAGGTCACCACTCCCCTAGATCAGATTCCCATGGAGGCTCAGCTGAACCCACGCCAGATGGCCCAGATGCGGACCATGCTAGCAGACCGGGCTGTCGCCTTCTCGGCCACTCCGGGCTGCACCGGGTTAGCCCTCCACCACGTGGAGACCCACAGTCAGAAACCCATCCAGCAGGCCCCGTACCAGGTCCCCGAATCCATAAAGTCGACCATCCGGGTCGAACTCTCCGAGATGCTCCAGCTGGGTATCATCCGACCCTCCCGCAGTCCTTGGGCCTCCCCAGTGGTGCTGGTTCCAAAGAAGGATGGGACCACCCGCATTTGTGTGGACTACCGGAGGTTGAATAACTACACTGTCAGTGACGCCTATCCCATGCCCCGCATAGACGACCTGCTGGACTGTCTAGCCGGGGCCCGCTACGTTAGCACCCTAGACCTCAGCAAGGGTTACTGGCAAATCACCCTCACAAAAGAGGACGTTGAACTCTCCGCCTTTATTACCCCGTTCGGCCTGTACGAATTCCTTGCCATGCCCTTCGGCATGAAAAACGCCCCCGCCACCTTTCAACGGGTCGTGGACCAGCTACTAGAGGGATGTCAAGAGTTCACGTGTGCCTACCTAGATGACATAGCCATCTTTAATGACATGTGGGAGGAGCACCTGGCCCACGTGGGGGCCATCCTAGATGGCATCTGCAGGGCTGGGCTGACAGTGAGACCAGACAACTGCCAGTTGGGAATGGCTGAGGTAAAGTACCTCGGGCACAGAGTAGGGGGGAGGGGGCACTGAAACCTGAACCAGCCAAGGTTCAAGCCATTTATGACTGGCCCACCCCCCCGAACCAAGAAGCAAGTGATGGCCTTCCTCGGCACTGCCGGCTATTACCGCAAATTTGTGCCTAATTTCAGCTCCACGGCCCAGCCCCTGTCCGACCTGACCCGAAAGAACAGTCCCTGGATGGTGACCTGGACCTCGGCCTGTGAATCCGCCTTCCGTGACCTCAAAGCTGCCCTGGCGAGCAACCCCGTCCTGGCCGCTCCTGACCACAACAGACACTTCCTTGTGCAGACAGACGTCTCCACCTACGGCCTAGGGGCTGTCCTCAGCCAAGTCAATGAGGCTGGGGAGGAACATCCCGTCGCTTTCCTCAGCCGCAAACTACTGGACCGGGAAGTTGCCTATGCTACGGTGGAGAAGGAATGTCTGGCCATAGTCTGGGCCCTAAAGAAACTACAGCCCTACCTGTACGGCCGGGAGTTCACCATTGCCACCGATCACAACCCCCGCACATGGCTGAAACGGGTGTCCGGAGACAACGGGCGCCTCCTTAGGTGGAGCTTCGCCCTCCAGCCCTAAAATTTCACCATTCGATATAGACGGGGAAGCCAACACCAAAATGCAGACGGCCTTTCCCAACAACAAGATCCACAGTAGCTAAGTCAGGTCCCACAAGTGCCGTCAAGGGAACCCGGTTGGGTCCCCTTTGCCAACACTTGTGAAATGAAAGGGGGAGGAGTGTCACATCTGCCCCCCCCCCAGCCCCTTGCTCTGTCCCTGCTCTCTCTGCCGTCTCTCATCCATGTCCCTCTTCCCTCCTGCAAAGATTAAAGGCATTCCTAAGACAAGCTGGAGCCACGCTACCTCCGGGCCCCCCCCCCCTGGTTGCCTAGGTGACTAGGGGGTCCAACCAGTTTTAAGAAGCTGATGCCAGAGCTCCCAAGGTATTCACCGCTGTGTAGCTGACGGAAGGGGCCCAGGCTGCGGCCGGGACCTTTCCGTGGCCAGACTCGGCAGAGACCCAAGGTTGCCTAGGACCCCCCTTCTCCCAGGGCTGGGGAAGACTGTCTGCTAGACACCAGAGATCCGTGAGTACATGCTCTCTGCCTGCTTCACTTGAACTGTTCTTGTTCTGACCTCACACCAACCCCCCCTGTTGGATTACTTGCTACAGAGACTCACACCAAACTCCCTGTGGATTACTTGCTACAGAGACTCTTCCTTGGCTCTCGGTGTTGGCCTTTAAGTGTGTTGGTCCTTTCGTGTCATCCTTGACTGGCGTATTCACCCTCCCTGTGAACTCCCCTATTTGGTGACTGTCATCTGTTTGCCTCCACACTGCCGATAGGACATCTGAATAAGGGCACTGATTATCAGTGCAGCCCCAAAACTCCCCAGCAGTAGTGCCCATCAGTGCCACCCATTAGTGTAGCATCATTAGTGCCTCCTCATCAATTCCCACCAGTGCCCTCATCAGTGCTTCCTATCAGTGCCGTCTCATCAATGCCCATCAGTGCTGCCTGTCAGTGCAGCCTCATCAATGCACATCAGTGAAGGAGAAAATGTACGTGTTTTCTAAATTTTGTAATAGAATTTTTATAATTTTTTATAACAATTTTGCTCTTTTTTAGTTTATAGTGCAAAAAAAATAAAACACCCTGTGGCAATTAAATATCACAAAAAGAAAGCTCTATTTGTGTGAAAAAAAAAAATAAAAGTTTCATATCGGTATAGTGTCGCATGACTGCGCAATTGTCATTCAAAGTGCAACAGCACTGAAAGCTGAAAATTGGCCTGGGCAGGAAAGGGGTAAAAGTGCTCGGTAGGCAAGTGTGCAAACGATAAAGAGCTCCAAAGATTTAGCCAGAGGAAGAGTCAGGACTAAAGACTTCCACTACCGTTGTTGTCTAAAGCCTTTACCCCTTTTTGCTAGTTAACCACTAGCCTACTGGGCACTTATACCCCCTTCCTGCCCAGGCCAATTTTCAGCTTTCCATGCTGTCGCACTTTGAATGACACTTGCGCGGTCATGCAACATTGTACCCATATGACATTTTTATAATTTTTTTGAGACAGATAGAGCTTTCTTTTAGTGGTATTTAATCACCTCTGGGTTTTTTATTTTTTGCTAAACAAACCAAAAACAACTGAAAATTTTGAAAAAAAATTTTTCTTAGTTTTAAGAAAAATAGTTTTTTCTTAGTTTTTTCTTAGTTTTTGTTTTAAAATTTTGTAAATAAGTGATATTTCTCCTTCACTGATATGCGCTATTGAGGCTGCAGTGATGGGCACAGATAGGTGGCACTGATGGGTACTGATAGGTGGCACTGATGAGGAGGCACTGGTAGGTGGCACTGATGGGCATTGACAGGCATTACTGATTGGTACTGAAAGGCAGCACTCATTTATGGCACTGATAGGCAGCACTGATAAGTGGCACTGATAGGCGGTACTGACTGGCACTGATAGGTGGCACTGACTGGCACTTTTAGGTGGCACTGACTGGCACTGTTAGGTGGCACTGATAGGCAGCATTGACGGGCACTGATAGGTGGCACTGATGCACACTAGTCAGCACTGACAGGCACTGATAGGTGCCACTGACTGGCACTGATAGGTGGCACTGACTGGCACTGATAGGTGACAGTGAGAGGCAGCTCAGATGAGCACTGATAGGTGGCATTGATGTGCACTGGTAGGCACTGATATGTGGCATTGATGTTGCACTGATGGGCACTGGCATGTGGCACTGATGAGCACTGACAGCTGGCATTGATCTATATTGACAGGTGGCACTGCTTGGGCTACACTGATCATCAGGGCACACTGATCATCAGTGCCCTGATGATCAGTGTACATGTCCCCTCCGGGGAATGCCGATTACTGGCTCTCCTCTCCTCTAGAGCTTTCAGCTCGAGTGGAGAGAAATGCTGATAACCGGCATTTCCCTATTTATATGAGATCAGCTGTGATTGGACACAGCTGATCACATGACCGAGCCGAAATCTTCGGCTCTTTCCGTTGATCAGTGATCCGAGGGACACAGCGCACCGCTGATCGCCATGCTGCGTGCTCCTGGAGCCACGCATGCGCGGTTAGAATGGGAGGACGTCATATGATGTCCTCCCAGAACGAGAGAACCACCTTGCGCCCGTCATTGCCTTATATGGCAGGCGGGAGGTGGTTAAAGAGGTACCTCTTAGGACACTGCTCTCTACCCCGGCCAATCCTTTATAGTGCACTCAAAACCAGTGTAATTATTATCCTTGCTGCATTTAAAGTTTATTTACCTTGCACATTGTGGACTTGCCAATCCTTTTACTGATTCTACTTTTTGGTATAGAACCTGATTGGTTGTTTATATTTTACATGGGTGTAGAGCTACCCCCGTGAGCGCCGCTCTGTTGTGGGTACCCCTAAGTTCTGCACAGCCATTCAACAGATATTTCTGACACAGACTTGCATCCAAGAGACAGTGACCAGTCTATGGGCTTGGTTTTGTTATTTCATTAGGGGAAATAACTTGGATAGGGAATAGGGATTATGGGATGCCCAGTTTGGCTTGAATAAATGAAGAAACCTCCTTCCTATGTAAAAAGAGAGATCCTGGACTGTTCTTTTCTTGAAAGCCATCAGTCGATACTGATCAGTAGCAACAGCCCTTTATGGGTGAGGAACTAGCAGCCCCTCAAAATCAACTTAGCTTCTTGTAACTACATGCAGAGATGTCTCCTCTCCTCTGTAGAGCTGCTCCCAACTCCACAGCCTGCAGACATTACCAGCCTTTCTGGCTGCTCTGAAGATCTCCCGGGACAAGGATAAGGACTGAGCCCAGGGCTACAGGAAGCTTGCTACATGTGGCAGTCTTTTCCCTTGTGGATCTTAGGGAGTGCTGCTGTACTCACAATACTCTTTGTTCCCACAGCTCCTGGTGTCGATCCCATTCACACTACACCACTGAATGTATCCTCCCGAGCCAGCCCGAGCTCAGTCTGGAGGTTGGCCCCCTGTAGACCTAGGGGACCCCTCCCAGGCACTGACAGTCTCCTCAGCACTCCATCTTCCACCTGACTCCTCTGCCAGCCTAACTCTCCCATATTTATGGGCCAGTCCACCACTCTACCAGGGCCTCAAAATCTGGGATTGGCCGGACATGCAGATTAGGTCTCCACCCCTTCCTGCTTACCACATTCTGGAAGGTTCTATAGTTCTCCAGAGTCAGGAAGTGATAGAGCCACAACCTGTTAAGTCATTCAGCTGACCTGCAATTACCTGGCCTCAGTCACAGACTCACACAGTTACCATGTGTCATACACATTGATTTTACCTCGAGTACACTACACTATTCTAGTAGCACACTAGAGGGTGCTACATGGGCATAGCCATTACTCAGTCTAGCAGATTGTGTCGTAATTTACCTGTTTTGATCTTATGCAAATTAAAGCCATTTATTCTAATTTGTATCAAGTGATGAAGTGTGTTTACCACTAAATGGGTGTGTGTGTTTATTTATGGACAATACCCAACAGCAAGGCGAAACGTATTTTTCACTCATGTTTTCACTTTTGCTCACAGTGATTTTATTCAACCAGGTGTGCAAGAGGAGCTGAGATTGTCGAGGCGCAGAACAGAGAACCCAAAATTACTAAGCGGCTCCTGTGGGAGTGGCACTACATACACTGCAAAAATGTCCCATACTTGGTGCCAGTGGAAGTTAAAGTGGATCTTTACCCATAACAATTGATAAAAAATAATGTGTTTTTAGCCATCAGCATTGCTCCTATTTCGTCTTGTTCTTCTCCATTTTGCTGAAGCTCAGAGCCCCTGAGCAGCAGTAAATCTTTAGGCTGTAAGATCTGCCTCTACATTTTTGGTACAGCAACTGAAAGCAACTTAGCATGTGCAGAGCAGAATGACACAGCATATTACTGGATTTTAAAGAGTATAGGCACTTATTTTTAGTGTTTTCCATAGCTATACCTGCAAAAGGGGCCAGCCTGAGGGGATCTAGCAGGACTTCATTTTCTGATTAAAGTTCTACTTTAACCACTTGCCAACCAAGCACTGTAGTTTTCCTGTTACAGTGCGGGAGGGCTGTGCAGAATCACGTATGTGTATATGTATATGTATATATATATATATATATATATATACATATATACGTGTGTGTGTGTGTGTGTATATATATATATATATATATATGATTTTTCATTTCCATGTAGGCACCAGTCAACACATTAACATTTGCTAGGCATACAGTTAACCTCTTGATCGCCCTAGATATTAACCTTTTTCCATTCAGTGTCATTAACGCAGTTACAGTGTATATTTTTTAGCAATGATCACTGTATTAGTGTCACTGGTGATATCAATGTCAGTTAGTCCGTGCCCACAAAGCATTAGCTAGTGTCAGCACTATCACAGTCTCGCTATAAGTCGCTGATGGCTGCCGTTACTAGTATAAAAAAAATTAAAAATAAATATTACAATATATATCCCATAGTTTGCAGATGCTATAACTTTCCCACAAACCAATCAATATACGCTTATTGGGATTTTTTTTTTTACCAAAAAAATGTAGAAGGATACATTTTGGCCTAAATTTATTAGGAATTATGATTTTTTGTATTTTTTTTATTGAATATGGTTTATGTCAGAAAGTAAAAATATTGTTTTATATCAAAATGTACAGTCTTTTTACGTTTATATAATTAAAAATAAAAAAAAACAGTGGTGATCAAATACCACCAAAAGAAAGCTCTATTTGTGGGGAAAAAAGGATAGAAATGTCATTTGTGTACAGTGTTGCATGACCGCACAATTGTCAGTTAAAATAGCGCAGTGCAATATACCAAAAAATGGCCTGGTCAGGAAGGGAGTAAAACCTTTTGGAGCTTAAAGCGGAGTTCCACCCAAAAGGGGAAGCTCTGCTTGTCTGCCCCCCCCCCCCCATGCTACCACATTCAGCACCTTTTGAGGGAGAGGGGGGAACGGGTACCCGGGTTTGATAGGTACCTGCTCCCACTTTCCGGTCAGTTCACCCTCCCTTCCCCCACAGCCTTCTGGGACACTTCATAGGTCCCAGAAGACTGTGACCCATTTACAAAGCACAGAGCGCTTCATGCATGCACATTGTAAACTGGCTGTGAAGCCAAAGAACCGGCTCAAGGTGAGGACACCACTGGATGCCTACATAGGTGGGGGAGTCAGAACTCCTCTTTGAGTGGTTAAATAAGCCTACGGTTGGTGTCAGCAGGAGCAAAATAAACCTCATTGTTGGTGTTGGTGGGAGCAATATTACACCCCATTTTTTTCATAGGACTTCTTAGAACTGTCTCACAGGATTCTGGACACTTGATAATTATGCCAGTGGTGTTGGTACCAGTGGGGGCAAAATATACCTCATCATTGGCACCAGCAGGAGCAAAATGCACTTCATTCTCGGGTGTCAGTGGTTGCAATATTACACTCCATACTTTCTTTGGTGTCACATAAGTTACATAGTCAGGCTAAAAAAAAGAGACATAAATCCATCTAGTTCAACCAATAGAAAAAAAAACAAATAAAAAACCTCCATATATACAATCCTAAACCCACAGTTGATCCAGAGGAAGGTAAAAAAAAACAATAAAGCATGATCCAGTTTGTTCCAAAGGGGGGGAAAACAATTTCTTCCTGATCCCCCAAGAAGTAATCAGATATTGCCTGGATCTAGCAGCCCTTTTTTTCCATGAGAAGTTTATTAACAGAATAGAAAAGGCGGGGCGAACAAAGTCCTAAACTAACAGAATCAGTATACAAAATACAGAACAGAAAAGTACATAATACACCCGAGTGTAAACATGAAGAAACAAAATGTCACATAAGCGCAAACAAAAACAGATATACAATCCAATATCAATTAGTCAGAAACAGAATTCAGGAGATGTTGACCAGGACAAAAAGGCCGTGATATCCTGTCACATGGTGGCCAAAACAGAACGCAGCCTTGGGTCAGTGATGGAAAATATTGCGGAAAAAAGATAGAAAAGGGGGGAAAATTTTAAAAAACGGGGGGAAAGAAGAAAAAAAAAAAGAATAAAAGAAAGGAAGGGGGGAGGAGTGGAGGTGGTGGGAAAAGAGGAGTAGAAAAGAGGAGAGGAGTAGAAGGAAGGGGATGGGGATAGATGGTGGGTCTAAAAGTAGGGAATATGGGTTTATTCTCTCTACCATCCCCTGCACACAGGTAGCAAGGCTGTCCAGTAGGGTCATGTATGTCGGCGATAGAAATGTCATGGGCTCGAGGTTACAACATACACTTTACTTTTGTGAGTATAAACTACAGTGGATATAAAAAGTCTACACACCCCTGTTTCTGTGATGTAAAAAAATAAGACAAAGATAAATAATTTCATAACTGTTTCCACCTATAAACTGTACACCTCAAGTGTGCACGCCCTCTTATGTCCAGTGCTTATCTGTTCCTGTCCTAATTTATGATGCTGGCCAGCTTCTGGAATGTGCGCACATGAAGAAACTCACACTGACACGTTTGGTCTGTGAAAACTTCTCTCTAATTTATTGAAATGAAACCGTGAGTTTATATATGAAAAATGATGCGAACATCACGTGATAACAGCATAAGCATTATATTAGTCTTTGATTGGTCATTTCCACACGAAAACAATCTCCGTCATGGTATAGGTGTGATCTTCTTCAGTCTTATCTTAAAGAGAG